AAGATGCAGTTAAGGATTCCATACTTACAATGAAGTAATCTAATACTACAGTATTATGTTAGTATCCTTAGGAATTAGGTTTCATTTTCAAGCAATTTTAAAGATACTGTTAAATCACTGAGAGTCTTTAATAAATGATAACAGAATTATATGAATTCTTTCTAGTAAATTAAATGTTTAAAATAAATACCAGAATCTCTAGCTGTTCTTTCTGATGCATTTCTAAGAATGAAGAGCACATGCTGTAATACTGAGTAATACATTCCAAACCTTTATTGGTAGAATGGCTTCATTACAATTGCAATTTTTACTGTATGTTTTGGGGCTTTGGAGGGATTGCATTTGGGAAGGTTTTTGTTACATGAAAAATCCAAGCTGTGATAGCTGGAACACACAGAGATACAACACAGGCTTCACCTTCCATTCTGCTGCTGCCTTAACAATGTGCATTGGTCCCCACCTTAAGTGATCTTTCTTCCTGACTGGGAGAGTAATTTCTATCCCTTCACTACCTGGCATCTTATCAGATGCAAACACTTTATTCCCAGTAATTTCTTTTAATACATCCGTGTTTGTCTCTCCAACTGATGCTAGTTGTGAGTTTTCCAAGCAAGTTTATTGACTGCATGGTCCTTGTTTGAAGACAAAAAATATTATTTGCATTTTTTTTGGTAACAGAAAAACCAGGGTACAGCAAACTTCCTACTGACATTTCAAGTGTGTTGCAAATCAACATCAAATGCTTCAGGAAACCTAGACCTGCAGAGAGTGAGTTTTTGTTCCTTTACAGTGTTGAAAAGGATTTCCACCATGCTGTTGAGTCTTCAAGGGATTGTGGCAGAGGAGTAGTCTCAGCTCTGACTCACTTTACCTTTGCTTTTCACGGCATCACAGACTGTAAGTCTGACATCACCATGTAGACTACATTGTCTAGTGGTGGCAAACTAATAAGGATGCTGTCATCACAATTGTAATTGGTTTTGTGCATATGCATACATGTATGCATATTGTATACATCATTTGCAGGATTTTTTCCTACTCATACAAAAAAAAAAATATATAAATACAGGTCTATTTTGTCAGCTCTAAAGAGGACAGGAGAATAACTTGAAGTTTGCTTGTGTCATGATCACAGAAAATGTTAAAAGAACAATGAATAATGAGGGTTACACTTTTACTACTAAAAATCAAACGTGCAAGTATGTAAGAATTGTATACTCAAGTGTGAAACCTCAGTTCTCTGAGCAAATGAAGTTAATATCCAAGCATGGCTATGTGAATGGAGAGTGGGGAGAATGCAAGAACAGCAGCATACCATAATCAAAAATTCATTTGAGGAGAGGACAAGAAAGATGGAGTAACTAGAATTAAAAACAGTATTTAGAGGTAGAAATTCATCACAGATATCCTGAGCCATTCAGTCCTTCAAAATAAACTATCTCTTTAGAACATGAAGCAGAAAATAGGAGTATTTCCTAGTACTTGACTGATTCTTGTAGTGGGTTCGAGTCTTTCTGACCTTGTCTCCGATTACAGCAAATTGGAAAAGACAAAAATAGGTAGAAAAAGGTATTTTTACAAAGATTCACAGGGAATAGGATGGTCATTTCAGAGGAGTTATTCCAAAGTCACCGCACATTTTAAGAGGGTTCACAAGCCTTTGTCTGGATGACCTCTATAAATTAAAACACAGAAGATAGCGCACATCAAGACTAATTTGTATTGGCAAGGCAGAAAAGGGAGGTCTTACTAAATCTGTTTGCATGCAACCTTCAGCTCAGTGTTTTGATTTCCTCACTGTGATGTTATCTTGTTGTTGAACTGCAAAAGTGAGGACTTTTTTTCCTGTCTTTATTTCAAAACATTGTTAAGCTTAAAAAATGGGGGGGTGGGGAAGATTGTTTGTTCCTCGATTCTTTAATTTGTAATATTGGGGAGAACATCTCTATAGCTTTATCTCAATCACAAACTTTGGACTTATTTTAACAAGGTCAGATTTCCCTCAAAGCAGATCTGATTATCATTAAGTCCATCCTGAAGGGACATGCCAGACTTGTGTGAAATTATACAAGGATCAACAATAAGATAATAACGTTTATATGGATGCTATAGTGAAACAAGAAACAGAATAATTTAATTCTAGTTCTTGAGATTCACAGTCAACATTTAGAGTGATGATTTGCTAAACACAGAATGATTTTTAAAAATTAGTGAGGGTGATTGTAGATAGCTAGAGTAAACTGATTAAAGATGATGGAAAATGTGATAAAATCTAGTAGAAAACTTAATGGCTTCTTCGGTTAGAGAGCTTGCTAAGGTCACCTGTCTGACATCTAACCTAACCTTTAACCAGTGACTGTAAGGTGTAAGAATGCCTTCCTGTATTTGATAAGTTTCTGTGACTCCAGAGTAGTCTCATGAAGGTTTCTGCCCCATCTTTCCTTTGGGTAGTTTAAATGTAAAACTATAACACATTTATAAATGTGTTATGAGGACCAAAAATACAGGGATAGGACTAGACACCACAACTATTCCCTTCCACTCCCAAAAAATTTGATAAAGAGATTAGAATTTGGCAAAGATCAGCCCTATCTTGTCTTTTTCTTTTCTCTCTTATTTAACAAATTAAAAAGAAGTGCAAAAACTAATAACAGCTACTTTGAAGTTGTCCATCAAAATACTACAGGTGAACTTCCCTTCAATCTACTATCACAGTTCCCAGGTAGCATGCTAACATAAGAGATGATGAAAATATCCAGCAAGAAGAAAAAGCCACACATTTTATTACAGTACTAAAACAAATTTATTTTTTCTTGTCCCAATATAAATATCAAGTAAAAGTAATTAAGACTTGCCTTTTGTGAGAGTAGCAGCTGAGAACTACAGGTTATCAATACTTTTTCAAGAGCAAGTGGTAAATCTTCCTGTAATGTTTATTAGTCTAGGATTCTTTAGATATAGACAGAGATATAAAAACAAGATATGGGGTTTTTTTTATAAAATGCACAGTAGTCTGACACTGGGCTTTATTAATCAGCAGCTTAACTATCATCTGAAAATATTAATTACATAAATTTTTATAGACCTTTTAATGATTTTGTTATTAATAGCACTTCCCAATACCAGTGACCATCTGTGACTGCTCGACCATCTGCGATTGCTATTTCAGTTCAGGAGGGGGAAATAGTGGTGTTATTATACTGATTTTACAATATAAATTATTAGCCAACTAGACCTACTGTAGATGATTAATTTGTCTTTGCTTATAAGTACACAGTGAGCAAGAGAAAATTAGTTCCTTTGATTTGTTGGCACAACGTGGGTTTGGGAAAAGGCCATGGGAAGCTGAAAAGATTAAATTGCTTTTATTGCAATCTGAAACATGCAAAAGTTGATGGAATTTAGATGATGAAAATGAAAGAGATGAAATGGCACTTGAAAAGGTAGCGAATGTTTCTTTAAAGTTCCATGGCAAATGATTTGCTGAGTATTGTAATTTGCTAAAGCTAGGTAACGGGAGCAGAAAAAAGGGATTATCAACATCTTTTTGAAAAACTTTTACAGTTTGTTGATGCCATATTAGAATAAACAGAGAAAATACTGATTTATAAACTCCTAATTAAAATTAATCTTGATGACTTCTTATCTGAGTGAATTAGCATTTATTTTAAAAGAAATTACATTTTTAATTAAAAACAGTTAATGCTTGCAGAAATGCTGCCCTTGCCTGCAAAGGCAGAAGAGTGAATTGGTTAATATTTTTTTTTATTCATCCCTTATTAAACTCAGATAAAATGCTTTCATATTTTGCTATCAACATGTCTGCATTCTGTAATGGCTGAGCTGATTTTTTTTTTTGTGTATATGTGTAGATCAATCCATTTTCCTTTGCTGAGGCAAAATTTCTAAGAAGCTATTAGTGAGATAGGATACAATTTCAAAATAATTCAGGTCCCACTTCTTAATCTACCTACATTGTGTGGAACCTAAACTTACTTCAAAACTAAAAAAAAAACTTTACAAAACCACTAGTAATTCAGGGCACAAATTAAATTGCATCTAACCAGTTGCATTGCTTACTGTCCTAGCTGATGAAGAGAGATTGGCACCTCAAAAAAATGACTCATCAGCCTAAGGCAGATATTTCTCCTAGATCAGGGAAGAAGTCTGGACATCTGGACAGAACTAAATTTCTGTAATTTTATATTGTTTAACTTTGTTAACGTTTCAAACTAGCTTTCTAATTGGAACAAATTTCACTTACAAAAGTCTTTGGTGAACTGAAGAAAGCTCATACCAGTTTTGTAAGCATAAGGATCTCCCCTGAAAATACATATATTTTGCATCAGAGGTGAGGCAAAAATTAAAAGATTATGTAACAACTGCTGTTTTACCAAATGTGTTGGCACCAGAAAGTCTCACTTTGCTGTCTGGATTTCAGTACAAGTTATAGCTGCTTTCTATATGCTCAGTGTCTGGCTCAGAGTTATCTATTTGACTGTACAGATTATACATAAATTTAGATATGAATGTGTATATATGTATATTTTTAATTATACAGACCTTTAAATTAAATTTTATATAAAAGGGAGTTGTATATGTATATGTATTCCAATCCCACACACACATGCATTGAATATGTTTGTGTATAAGTATATGGAAATTAAAAAAAAAAGTAAACCAACAAAAACCAAAAACCTTAAATTACAGTCAATTCAATTTCAAGAATATAAGGTAGATTTTTCAATTGTAGGCTGAACAAAGTCCTGATGAGTGTCACCCTTATTTTGCATTAGGTTGCTCATCTTCCTGACCTTTAGCAGGCTGACAGCAATTTTTCTTGCCATTTTCTGCTGCTTATTCACAGATACCTCAAACTTTCCTCTCTCTTAGGGAAAGTATGTGGTTAAGATATAAAGCCATTCCATAAAAAAAATTTGAACAACTTGGGATTAATATGCCTCCCAAATACTGATTCAGTCTTGTTTCTTCTATTGCAGTCAAAAGGTCTTTCAAGCATAACTCCATCAGGCACTCAGAAGAAGGTGAAGAGGACTCTACCCAACCCACCTCCGGAGGAAGCAACAGCAGGAACTCAGTCCCCATATACTTCTGTGGGATCAGTTTCACGGAGAAGGATTTGTAGGACCACCACTATGGCCAGAGCCAAAATTCTTCAGGATATAGACAGGGAATTGGATCTGGTCGAACGTGAATCAGCCAAGCTTAGGAAGAAGCAAGCAGAGCTAGATGAGGAGGAAAAAGAAATAGATGCCAAGCTGAGATACTTGGAAATGGGCATTAATAGGAGGAAAGAAGCCCTACTAAAAGAAAGAGAAAAGAGAGAGCGTGCCTATCTCCAAGGAGTAGCAGAAGAACGTGATTATATGTCAGACAGTGAAGTTAATAATACCAGGTCAACCAGAATAGAAACTCAGCATGGCTTGGAAAGACCACGTACTGCACCCCAGACAGAATTTAACCAGTTTATGCCACCGCAAACCCAGCCAGAAACACAGTTTGCCCCTGCTACAAGCCCATATGCTCAATATCAGTATTCATCTCCTGCCCTGCCAACTCAAGCACCAACTCAGTTCACACAACAATCACATTACCAACAACAACAGCCTTTGTATCACCAGCAGGTTTCACCCTATCAGACCCAGACAGCTTTCCAAACAGGAGCTACTATGTCCTATACTGCACAGGCTCAACCTCCACCATCTCAACAACCATCATACCAACTCTCATCACAGATGATGGTGATACAGCCAAAGCAAAGACAGACCACATTATATTTGGAGCCTAAGATAACAACAAACTATGATGTAATTCGCAATCAGCCTCTCATGATAGCTCCAGTTTCAACTGACAGTAGTTATGCAGTTTCCCAGCTGGGCAGTAAATACTCTACCTTGGACTTAAGGATAGGACTAGATGAGAGAAACAGCATAGCAAGCAGCCCTATCTCAAGCATATCTGCAGATTCATTCTATGCAGATATAGATCACCACCATACACCCCGAAATTATGTGCTGATCGATGATATAGGAGAACTTACTAAAGGAACAGGAGCACTCGGTTCCAGTTTTAGCCTCCATGAGAAAGATCTGACCAAAACAGATCGACTGCTTCGCACAACTGAAGCCAGGAGAGCACAAGAGGTGTCAGACTTCCTAGCACCACTGCACACTTCCTCTAGGTTACATTCCTATGTTAAAGCTGATGAAGACCCAATGGAGGACCCCTATGAGCTCAAACTTCTGAAACACCAGATAAAGCAAGAGTTCCGTAGAGGTGCAGAAAGTCTTGATCATCTGGCTGGCCTGTCACAGTATTACCACGGAGAGGGCAGCTACAGGCATTTTCCAAAATCTGAGAAATACAGCATAGGTAGGCTTACTCTTGAGAAGCAGGCTGCCAAGCAGCTCCCAGCAGCCCTCCTTTACCAGAAGCAGTCAAAACACAAGAAAGCTTTGATAGACCCCAAACTAACAAAGTTTTCACCTATCCAAGAAAGCAGAGACCTTGAGCCTGACTATTCAAGTTACATGACTTCTAGCACTTCAACACTTGGGGGAATTACTACTAGGGCAAGGCTTCTTCAGGATGATATTACTTATGGCCTTAGAAAAAACATCAGTGACCAACAGAAATACATGGGGCCACCACTGACGTCATCCATTGGAGCAGGCCTTGGGACTGCACTAGGTCCAACAATGAGATCCACACTACAAGATGAAGCAGACAAGTCTTATAGCAGTGGTAGTAGATCTAGGCCCTCATCTAGACCCTCCTCAGTGTATGGGCTCGATCTGTCATTGAAAAGGGATTCTTCCAGTTCTTCTTTAAGACTGAAAGCCCAAGAAGCTGAACCCTTAGATGTTTCCTTTAGCCATGCAGCACCTTCTGGAAGAACTAAACCCACCAGTCTACCTATTAGCCAAAGCAGGGGAAGGATCCCGATAGTAGCACAGAACTCAGAGGAGGAGAGCCCACTAAGTCCTGTTGGACAGCCAATGGGAATGGCAAGAGCAGCAGCTGGACCCTTGCCACCAATATCTGCAGATACCAGGGACCAGTTTGGATCGAGCCATTCATTACCTGAGGTCCAGCAGCATATGAGGGAGGAGTCACGGACTCGAGGCTATGATCGAGATATAGCCTTCATCATGGATGACTTCCAGCATGCCATGTCAGACAGTGAAGGTAATTTAGGCCTCAGACTGGTATCTTACTATCACAACCAAAATCCTCATTTCTATGCATGTGTCTAACTTTTGTTATACTTCAAAGACTTGTTCTTTTTCTGTTCCTTGGTGCATCTTCTGTGTATCTACATTTTTGGGGTTTGCATTGCTTTGTTTTATTTGATATTTTTTGTTTTACCCTAACAGCAGTTTCTGGATGGTGTTAAGCTACTATAGCATGCTCACTATATTGTTATTGATTTACTTTCCTTTTGGTTTGCTTGTGCATTTTCCTTTTCACTTGTTTATGTCTACTTTTCCAGTGATACTGTGTAGAACAGTCCATGTACAATACAGACCCTACCATCAGTCTTTATGTGGAACTTTCTCCAGTGACTGTGAATCATTGAACTTTTTTGCAGTAGTTTTTATTGGGATTTGGAAATATTTCCCAAATCTCTAAAAAAACTCTAGTGATTTTATTTGCATGAAGTTTCATAATAGAATTCAAGAACTGATAATTCCATCTCCTGATGCACCAATTTAGATCTGTGTTTATATAGAAATAGTCTGTTCATTAAGTACATATTATATGTTAGCACCATACAAAGCTTAACGTGATAGCAAAATAACATTCCACATATGGTTTGTTGAAAGCATCCTGTCATGTGGACTTCTGTGCATTCAGAATTGTGATTATGTAAGATAATTTGCCATTTGGATGGTTCAAGACAATCTCATCCTTCAATAAACTTGCATAAAGTATTTTACTTCTATTGATGGGTTATGCAGTGTAGCTGGTTTTATATGCACCCCGTACATATGTCTGCCAAATAAGCACAAGAGTTTATCTCATTTAGGTTCATGAAAGGAACATTTCTGATGTATTATAAATGGTGCAATTAAAAATGCTGCTTATGAATAAGTACAGCAGAATGTTAAAGCTGATGTTGAGTACTTAATAACTGCAAATTTTGTATCAGTTTTGTTTGAGTCAGTTCAGGGTTAATATATTCTAAATTGTTTAAAAATCATAAAGACCGTTTGAAAGAAAATTAAATGAACATGTTCGAAATTGTATGCGCTCCCTTCACCTTTTCTTATGTGTATTTACTGCACAATAAAAGAGACTTTGCATGCGCTATATTGTCTGTAAATGGCAATGATTGTCTCAAAAGACACATTTGCATGATTATGAAGTAGAATGGTTTATTTTCCAGGTTTATACTAACCTCCATTCATTATTACATTATTGTTTTTTAACACATGCTGAATTTTTCATAAGCATTAGGAAATTTGATCTATTTGCCTTTCTCATACTACATATTAAGGTCTTTGTTCTGTAAGGTTCTTTTCACATTTCTTACATATTTACAACCCCCTCGTGAACTCTGTCTTTCAGGAGAGGCTCAGGATCATCAGCTTTTTTTGATTTTTATCAGAAGTTTAAGGGTTTTCATTGTCCTTAAATTCTTAGCACACAGAGTCCTATAATTAAATCTGAAAACAATTGAAAGGAACTCCCTAAGTTGCAACTATATCATTATTCCTAAATAAGTGATGCTATCATGTATCATCTCAACTTGTGACTTTTAAAGGTCATTCTAGAGTGACATTGTAAAACATGGAGGACTTTTCCTCTTGAAGACTAAGGAGAACCAAACTGAACCAAAAATCCAATTTGGTGCTATTCTAACTCATACAAACAGATCATAGGGAATTATATTTCTGCCCTACAGTGCAATAAATTTTGCATATTACACTTCAGATAAAACGTTTTCATTTTAAATTAGTCTCTGATTAGTTACACCCTCAGAAGTATTCTAACTCAATTCACATATTCTGTATTAATCTGTGTCACTGATATGTCACTGAACACCAGGGCTTCCCCTTTTAGCAATCTTTTTCTAATTTTTATTAAGATTTCATCTTCACAAGTAATTTATTTCTTAATAAATGAAAACACTTTATGATCTTTTTTTAAATATGCTGTCTAATAGCAAGTAACCTGTATTGAAAATAATTCATATAATTTGAATGTAAGACAAAAAGTGTTCCAAAGAAGCAAGAAGTTCTATAGAAAGTTATGGCCTTCCTTTTTCTGGACTGCACTCTTCTCTGTAGTGCCCTGTTGCCCTGACAATGGACAGCTATTCTGGCATGTTTCATCCAGCCTTTTAACACAGTTTGCTTTGCTGCTTCTCTCTCTCTCTTTTTTTTTTTTTTAACCAACTGTTGCATGGTGTTGATGAGATTTCATTAAAAGAAATCAATCTTAAGCACTGTCTTAGGAAAACTCTTCTTGTTCTATGGCTTGATTTATCACCTTAGGAGACTTTTAAACATGAATTTAAGTCAAAGTATTACATTTAAATTGTTTTTCTTTTGTTCAAACTGAGAGACGTGCTTGAATTTCTGTTCATTTTTTATAAGTCGCATGCCAACAAAAAATACCAGAAGAGAACACAAACAGGACTTTGAGACTAAACCTTTTGTTTTTCACTAAGTACATACTGTAACAAATCTTAAAACCATGCTTCAGCACATAAGTAGTACTGACACTGGGATTCCAAACTTCAAACAGGTTAAAAAACACCTTTAATGTCGAAAGAGCACAACATCTAGAGCTTCCCATTGAAAATAAAGTGCATTTTTGAGCTTTTGAAATACCTGGTATTTTCTCAGGGTTCCCAATATCATGGGATAGGTCTCTATCAACCCCCCACCTGCCAGTTTCCACACACTACTAAGTATGTTGAAGATATTAATTTTCAAGAATGCTGAAGGTAGTACTCAATTTTATGAATATAAATAGTCCTTGCTGGTCAGCTTTTATATCAGAAGACATAAAATGTGCCTTTTCTCACCTAAAGAATTTTTTTTTCTACAATATGCTAATTTGGTAATTATATAATAGGGTATATAATAGGATTTAAAAGTTTAAAATTGAGATACGAAGACATCAAGACATCAACACAGACAATGCCTTGTAATTTTTCATCCGTGGGATTTAGATTGATCATTACTGCTTCTCTAATCAAGTTCCTTGGACTCCACAGCCTGGAGTTCAATATCACCTGGTTAAACTGTTTGGAATTAACAGCATGGGACCTTATTGACTCCAGCAGGAGATTTTTACAGGTGGAACCATCTGGCTGCATACTGTTAGTCTTAGAATAAAAGGATGACCCCTCTCAGGCTGTCAGTGATTCATCTTGGCTGTTCTCAGGTTTCCAGCTGTAACAAATCCCAGCTGAGCAAGCCAAAAACAATGATGTGTGTATGTATATGTGAGTGTGGCGTGTGTGTGTCCATATACACATACATAACTTTTTAAATTTCATATAAAATATACACATTTACAGCAGTCTGATAAAAAAAGGTAGGCTGGTCTGAACTGCAGTATTGAATTCTACTTTTTCGAAAGAAGAAATCCAGCAAAAGTCATTTCAACTGGGGCAGGAGGAAAAAAAAATATCATTCTTTCATCTGCTGAGCTAATGACACATTGTGATAGTCAGTGTTGACATCTGAGGTCAGTAAAATGCATTAGGTTCTTCATGCAAGCTTCAGAAAGAAGTTCTGTCAGGATGAGTTATGAACCAGCCTGCTATGTGCAGGCACTAGTCAACTGGCATAAATGTGTAAAGCATAAAGGATTTGTATATTAGATCATAATGGTTTATTGAGAGCAGTTGTTCAATAACTAATCACTAGCCAGACAAGCATCAACCTTTAATAATGTTTATGGTAATTCCTATATGCTGATCTAAATAATATTTCAAACTATTTTTTGTTAGGTTAAGTTTGTGCACAGTTGTGCAGGAAGAGACTGCATAATATCTAAAACAAGATTAAGAATTTTCTGAAGGCCTAATATAATACAGGGTGTTGTTTTTACCCATAAGAAATATCATTTTCCCAAAATCATGCGTATATATTATTTCTCTTTTTTTGAGAGAAATTCAATAAAATAATAATATTTTTATCCCATTAATTTTTTTCCCAATTATTTGTTAAACCAGCTAGATTGTTGTTTTCACAACTAAATAGGAGAGATTATGCACACTACCATTTTTCCTTTTAAATTTTCCTCTGTGTCATGTCAACACACACACTTGTTACTATAGCAACTACTGACCTTATTTAAGATTTGCAATTTCTTGTGGTTTTGCTAAAACAAATATTGTCTTTCTTTGATTTCCAAATTTGTCTTGCTTAATAAAGCATAAAATTCAAACTTACATTACATTCTAATTAACTGCACAATGCTTTGGTTTACACTGATGGGCAACAGAAATAAAAATCTATATATTGTATAGTGGAAATATTATTAAACATGTAGGACATGATTCTGATCCAAATGGAGTGACACCTATGTCAGCTGACCCAAAAGTCAGTAATATAAATATATACATTTGCAAAACTGATTTCAGTGAAATGGTGTTATTTGATCTCCAAAAGGGATTTTATACAGATTTAAAACTCTTGCAAATAGAAGCACATTAGACTTGTAGAATTATTGCAGAAAGAACATGCTCACTAACAATCCATGCACAAAGGTTCATACTGCAAAAATCAAGGGATGGAATTTAAAATGAGAACACTTGCAATATTTCTGCTTACAATTACAAGGAGTTGCATAGATTGCTTCCTATCTACTTTGGTTTGGGTTGATACTGATTTCACCAAGAATTCATAATTTTCCTGTAAGTAGTTGTAGATTATTTCCAAAGTATTTTGAACCAATATTCAGTTCAGAAACTTGGGAATTGGTGGAGTTTGGGTTTTGAGGGTTGGTTATTTTGGGATTTGCTTTGGGGTTTCTTAGGTTTGTTTTTTTTTTACTTAGTCTACTGCAACGTAACTAATCTGACTAATTTTTTTTTCAACAAACATTTTAGAGACATGTGAAATCGGCAGTGTATTTCTGAGCTGCCTGAAGGAACATTACTATAGCGCTCAGCAGCAGGTTTCTTCTGTATTTAATATCCATAGGTTTGACATAAACAGAATCTTCTCCCTTTGCTGTATCACAGCTAAATAATGCTCAAGTTCAATGTCTCAAGTCTCACCTGTAACTTTGCTTTAGCTGCATGGCCAATTAATAACCACTCTGCATGTTTGCTCTGCACAATGCACATTATTGCCCTTTGCCCAGCCCTGGATCAGAGCATTTGACCTGTCCTTGGTTTTCAAAGCCTACCATCTCCGTCGTGAAGAAACAGATTGGTTTGACAAGCCCAGAGAGTCTCGTTTGGAGAATGGACACATCCTCGACAGAAGGCTGCCAGAGAAGTTGGCCCACTCTCGACCACTAAGTCAACACCAAGACCAAGTAAGCTGTCAAGTAAGACATGCCTTTAGTTTTATAAATGACTGATAATTTGATCATACTGTCCAATACTGTAGGGACTTCAGGATTAATCAAATTCCAGTACATTAAGCTGAAATGCTGTTGAACCTGTATTCATCACCAATATTTGATGATGAAATTAGATTAAATTCCCTCTACAATTCAGTATTAATTTTGCAGGTTGTCTTTTAATTTTTGAAATGTATCTGAAAGGAATTAATCTCCTAACTGGAAATATCTATACATTAAGTGTCCATATTAAAAGAAAAAAGAAAGCAATTAGTGTCATTTCACCTTACCATTCAAATTCAAGTCCCTTCTTTTAGTAGTTGAAGGAAAAGACTTGCTTTATCCTGTAGATACTTTTTTTCTGCTTTCAGTTGGTGAATATAATTCCAGCGGTTCATGATTAATTATTGAATAAGTCAGCAAGACTTTATCAATCTAATAATCAGAATATTCCATTTATTAGAGAAAGAAAAAGTCCATATTCTGCTTTTCAAGCTTGCTGACTTGGAAATCTAGTCACATTAGTGTACCATCCCATTTCATCTTTATATTAACAGAGTTTATGTATTTCAAGTATCCAAGGTCTTCAATTGTTTGTTACAATTTTTACTGATTCCCTTAGCTTATATTCTGATATATTCTTATATATTGATTTAGATCACATTTTTCCATGAGATGCAATGGATGCAATTGGTGCATTTCCTCGGGACAAGAGGAAACGGCCTCCAGTTGCACCAGAGGAGTTCTACATTAGATATTAGGAAAAAATTTCTTTGTGGAAAGGGTAGTCAAGCATTAGAACAGGCTGCCCAGGGGAATGGTGGAGTCACCATCCCTGAAAGTGTTCAAAAAACACGTGGATATGGCATTTGAGGACATGGTTTAGTGGTGAACATGGTGGTGGTGGGCTGATGATTGGATTTGATCAACTTAGAGGTCTCTTTCAACCTCAACGATTCTATGATTCTAAGAGAAGATATTGCATGGCCCCGTTGTGATACTTAATACCTTATATTTTGTTAGTTCCTCAGAAAACATACAAACAGGAGTATCTTACTGTCAGGCAACCTTCAAAACTTTTATACCGGTGAGCATTTTTACTGACATTTGACAGTCGAATGTAGGTTTTATGAAGCAAAGATGTAGATGTTATGCAGTAAGTTTTGAAATACCTCACAGTACAAGCTGTCATTTATTTTTCCCTCTTTTCCTATCTCTAGTTTAGCTTATATTGAGATGTACACAGCTCAGGTTGTACTGTCTACCCATTTCTTGTTCCGAAAAAGGGCTTTACAAGATATAATTCTTACAGGAATCTATTCAAATAGATCATGAATCAACTTTATTGCAAGATAAAGGATGTTTTTGAGTCTTCACAGCTCTTAATATCACTGGCAATAGTTAAAAAACTGACTCTCTGTTCACTTTAATCCTTATGAGAAACATTCATTATTCTAAGCATACATAATTGTATTTGACCACTAGAGTGTTCTGAGGTAAAACTGAAAATTTCCCTTCAAATCAGGTTTATCCAAAAGGGAGCCCTGTGATAAAGAGGTAGTCAATGAAATGCGAGGTTTTAGTCACAGAGGTCTGATCTTTGGGTTTTTTCTCTCATATAAATAGCACTAAGACTGGTTGAAAAACTTTGATCAAAATTTTTCAAGAGGAAAGTTAAAGGGCCTAACAGTTCTTCTTTTCCTGAATGTTTCCAGGAGGAAAATACGTGGTTTTTTTCTCTTCCTGAAGCTGTTTTGGTATCCTCATGGTTATATGGAAATAGAGATACTGCATTAAAATCTTGACAAAGACCACAGGTTTTGGTTTTGTAAAATATGGGATGTAAATTGGAGCGTGAACATGTTCTAAATAATTCTGTCTGGTGCCATGTAAAGCCTCTGCAGAAGAGAGGTGATGTGTAAGGAGAAGCTTTACAAGAATTCCTTCTTCATCTATTTCCATCTGAGTTAGCTACCAGTCACTCACTGGTACAAAAAAGTATCAAT